CTACAAGTAAAAAACAGAGAAAAGAGTGGGTCTAGGAACTCACCTTTGGTTACCACGGTGATTTTAATCATGTTATCATCAGACCAGGGTACATTAGCCCTTTCATTTTCACTGTCCACATAAGGCATGATTGACATATAACCCCGATAACCCTTGGGACGAATAGCCTCGTGGATAGTCAAACCAAGTGTTCTATCCTTAGCGGTTGGACAACCCTCGACATTCCACAAGATGATTATATCACGTGCTGACAAACAATAATAGGATTACACATACAATTGATTAAGATATCGATCAAGACAAGCAATTTCCACTTACTGCTAATATCTTTTGGAAACAGAGAAGGAACTCTGTTAGGAAAAGTCTCCTTGGGCATATGTACAGGGTATGGAGGAATACACCCGGGGACAACACTTTCGATGAATAAGTGATGCAAAAGCACATTCCCGTTTACAATAGGTAGCCTAGTTGAAATGTCTATAAGGATTGTCATTCCTGCATCCTTATAGACATGGAAGGACTCTGGTGAGAAGTTTTCGTTATGAATATAAGCCTTGATTGGCAAGTGACCTTCCGGAAACCTTTGAGGTCCCAGAAAAGACTTGGTACGGTGAGACATCAAATCAGTATCTCCGCCTTCAGGCAAGGGGAGATCCTCGAGGTCGTCTTGACCATAAGCAGAAGCGCACAAAGGAGGGAACCTCACAAGGTCTTGAGGATCTCTGTCAATAATTAATATCTTAGTTTTAATGGATCTCTGATTTGTTTATGCCTTTCCGGTTTCATTGCAGAGGTTTAGGCTTATGGTCAAGACCTTGTGATGTTCGGCTTTGGTCATTACAAGGCTCTACTCCATCTAACAGGCTTTTCGAAAAGGATGCCAAGGTTACAAAACGTAGCTCAGTTGATGGGAGATGACCCGGAGGAGGCTCCAGTGCTACGATAACATTGTAGTCCAAACGTTCCACTTTTAAAAGGATGTGGCGGAACAGTGATTTGTTTTCAATGAGCTTAGACGACATGACACACAAACTTGACCTATAGGGATAATTGTAAGGATTCTCCACTGTCCACAAAAGAATGTGGGTTATCATATAGTGAGCTCGAGCATATTTATCCCCTGCAAAGTATATATCAAACGTAGATCATTCATTACAAATATATACAAAGCAGTAAGACCGCAACAGTGACAAAAAGTAGAGTATTTTTTGG